GGAGGGACGGCGCCTGGGAGGGCGGGCGGCAGGGTCGCGAGGGTCCTGGGGAGGAGGGAGGGAAGCCCGGGGATCCATGGTGCTACCCGTCCTTTCACCCAGACGCGGACTCGGCCTCGGGGGACTCGGATATGTACGATCTGCCCAAGAAGGAGGACGCCTTGCTTTATCAAAGCAAGGGTAAGGCGGGGTGGGTGTGGGCACTTTACCCCACGGCACCGCGGGCCCGGGCACGGGAAAACTCGAGGCCTGAGACCCTAGCGTTCCTCAGCAACCCTGGAGAGGGAAGACTGCCACAGGCCCGAGGTGGGGTTCGGGTGTGAGCCAGGTGGGGCACGCCACTGCCTCCTGCCACCGCTATCCCCTTCCCAAGGCTCTAATGACGACTACTATGAGGAGAGTTATTTGAGCACCAGGACCTACAGGGAGCCTGAGTCTGCGGGCGCCGCCAAGGGCTTCCGCCAGTCAGCGACTTCACTCTCAGATGCCACCACCTTCCACCACCAGGTGAGCTGGGGCAGGCACCCTGAACGTGGGTGCGGCCTGGGACCTCATGGCTGGGTGCAAATGGTGGCCCCTGGGCCTCCAGGGAGACCTAGGATCAGCAGACACCTGTTTGGTCAAGGCCCAACTTCGGGAACCATTGTAGAATGTGCTTTGCACCTTGGTCTGGGATCAAGGTTCTAGGTTTTTGGGTTTTTTTTGAGTCAGAGTCTCACTCCATTCCCTAGGATGGAGTGCAGGGCACACTCACGGCCACTTCAGCGTCAACCCGCTGGGCTCCAGCAATCCTTCTACCTCAGCCTTCCAGATAGCTGGAACTACAGGCGTGTATTACCATGGCTAGCTAATTTCTGATTGATTGTAGAGACGAGGTCTCGCCGAGTTGCCCGAAATGATCTCAAACGTATAGGCTCAGGCAATCCACTTACCTCAGTCTCCCAAAGTGCTGGGATTACAGGTTGAGTCTCTGAGCCTGGCCGGTTCTAGCTCTTTCTGAGAGTCCTGGAAGAGAAAGGAGGATACTGGGACACAGAGGCCAAGATAGTCACAGAGCCCAATGGCAAGACCGCATCCACAGAAGGCCAGAACTCCACACTGTTCTGGAGGGGGCGGGGCCTGGCCTTGGAATGATGGTCAGAGTGGGCTGCCAGGGAAGTTTGGACCTAGATATGTGACGAGGCCTTCACCCCGACTCTCTTCTTCAGGTCCGCGATGACAATCTTTTCTCTTCTTCTGAAGAGGAGAGCAAGGATAGGTGGGTAAGGGGAGGGTCAGGGTCAGGGTCAGGGGCGGGCTCTGGGCCCGGGCCCTCCTGGCCCACCACTCCCTCTCTCGCCTCAGGGAACGCCCAGTGTATGGCCGGGACAGCGCCTACCAGAGCATCGCGCACTACCGCCCGGTCTCCAGGAGCTCCCTGGGCCTGTCCTACTATCCTTCGTCAGCCTCCACCTCTTCTGTGTCATCTTCATCTCCTCCCCCCTCGTGGCTGGCCCGCCGTGCCATCCGGCCAGAAGAGCAGGCTCCTGGCTCTGGCCTGGGGCCGGATCGCCAGGTCCCACTCTGGGGCCAGCTGCTGCTTTTCCTGGTCTTTGCAGCCTTCCTGCTCTTTGTTTACTACTCCATGCAGGCCGAGGAGGGTAGCCCCTTCTGGACAGAGCCCTAGGGCCTTGGCCACGGAGCCAGCTCTTCCAGAAGTCCTGGCTGAGGCCTTAGCGGTGTCTGCTGGGGGGGAGGGGGGACTTTTCTGTGTGTCCTAGCTTGGGGGGTTGGGCCTAGCCCAGGACAGCGCTTGCTCCCCTGCCTGGTCTTGCCGGGGAGGTTGCAGCCTGAGCCCCCTACGGTGTGGTGTCCTGCTCATGCCTCCTCTGCAACCCTGCTTGCCTCTGACCCTGAGGGCCAGGAGGGCAGGCCCTCACTCCTCAGAGGAGAACATGGTTGTTGTCATGCATGCCTCCTGTTTGTTGTCACCTTGTTGGGGGCATTGACCAAAGGCCACCCTGACTTTGTTTTCGTGGACACACAATAAAAAGACCGTTTATTTTTAATGTGTTGGCTCTTCTGGTGGGGAGGGGGCTGGGGCCGGGCTTCTGAATCTTGGGTCGTATGTCACTTTTGCGTTTTTCCTTTTGTCTGGGGGTGAGATCAGGTGCTGCCCACAGGTATGTTATTTTATTCCCTGGTGTGCCCCCCCAAAGTGCTCATAGCTACTTGTAAAAACAACTACGGTCAGCCAGCTGTGTGAAGACCCACTGGGAGCCCAGGTGCCTGCAGGTGTCCTAACTGGGAAGAGCTCACCAGCCCTGGGCTCCTAGGACAGTGGCGTGGAGGACCAGTGCCCTGCATTTCTGGGCCATGGAACACTGCACCACTGTGTCCTCGCCTGTCACCCAGACTTACTTTCTGGGTGTATGTCCCAACCATCACAGTGTCCCTACATTCCCAAGAGTATAAAGGCGGGTACTAGAAACACCCAGGATAGGATGCCGCGTGGCGCCAGGAAAGCACAGGGGCCGGCACCCACTCATCGGGCAGGTGGGGACATCCTGCAGTGGCAGGACCCGGCACAGCTCCCAAGGGGTGCCCACGTGAGCCCCATGGCTCCACAGTCTCCGGGGCTCTTGCCTGTCCACGGCCACTTGGGGAGCTCGTGGTGGGGCTGGTGTGGGCCCTCCCTCCCGCTCCTGACCATTTCTCCTTGTTGCGTCGTCTCCCCACGTCTTTTTTTGGTAACCCTCAAAATCATACGCGCCTGGTCTCTGCATTTCAGATACACAGAGAGGGCACTGCTCATTTTCTTGCCACTCAAACGCTTCGGCCTCCCTTGTTTGCTACGAGCCCCTCCCACCTGGCTCGGCCCCACTGCCAAGGCGCGCGCTACACAGATATCCCAGGCCCCTGCCCTCTGCCCCTCGTCATCCCGAGGCTGATCCAGGAGACTGAAGGGCTTGATGCCCGAATGGTTCATGGGGGCAGGCACAGGATGCTCCCGCATAGCGGGGTCTGGATGGTCCCACCATGAAGCCTGCAGGTGGGGTGCAAAGCAGTCGGGCTGCCACTCCCAGGACCTGGGAAGGACACTGACAGAGCTTGTCTCCGCAGCTGACTGAAAAGCCAGCACACCAAGAGGAAGAACTGCTCTCACCTGAGTTCAGACCACGAGAGCACTCAATGTCCGGGGCTGCTGCTGCACAGGCAGGGGAGGGGCGAAGCCCAGTCGGAACCCACGTGAGGCCTAGAATGGCAGCCAGGCTAGTATCTCAGGCTCTGGAGTAGGAGCTGGGGTGGAGACACCAGGGGCCCGAGAGCTCTGTTTGGGGCATTCCAAGGAGGGAAGAGCTGTCCAGGCTAGGGCAACGTGGCCCTGTGGGCCTGGATCTGCCACAAGAGGGGGGACGGGTGCGACTGGACAAGCCTAGTGACCATCGTGGAGTCGGAGTGAGGGAAGGAGGAAATGGTCTCCACACCTGTGACAGTCACCCTCTGTACCCTTTCCAAAGGGGGTCCCAAAACTGGACGCAAGATACAGGGCTCCTGGGGTCCCCTCCCTAGTGCCCCGGGGAAGCACAAGGCTACAAGCCTCCTGTCCCACGGTTGGGAAACAGGCTCCCCCTCCCAGGGCTCAGGGTCTCCCCGACACAGCCACTCCTGCTGCCTCTGAGATCCTCAAGGCCTCACACTGGGGCTTAGCCCCACCCCCAGGACTCAATGGGCTGTGGAGTGCTCCATGTTCCTGCAGTGCTTGAGGGCTCTATGATCCTGAAACCCAAGGTTTCCAGTCCTGGAAAGGCTCTAGATGCCGCCGCCAAAAGGCTAGGGAAGGCTCTGTTTGCCCAAACTGAGGGAACTTGTGGCCTCCAAGCCTCCACTTAAATGCTTCGCAGTGGCCCCACTTCCAAAAGTTCCCAAGTAGGCCAGGGATGGTGGCTTGCGCCTATAATTCCAGCACTTTAGAAGGCCAAGGCAGGAGGATCACTTGAGCCCAGGAGTTCAAGACCAGACAGGGCAACATAGCAAGACATTGTCTCTACAAAAAAGTCAACAAATTATCCAGGCATGCCAGAGTGGACCAGTAGTCCCAGCTACTCAGGAGGCTAAGGTAGAAAAATTGCCTGAATCTAAGAGGTCAAGGCTGTGGTGACCCGTGATTATGCCACTGTACTCCAGCCTGGGTGACAGAGTGAGACCAAAAAAGAAAAAAGTTCCCAAGGAACCTGGAAACCACTTGCAGGACCCCAGCGGTGCTTGGAGACACAGCAGGGGACAGCACCCACTGAAGGTCCCAGGAGGCCAATCTGTACTCTGAAGAGACACGATTTTCGCCCTACACGACTAGCAGGGTGCAACCTGTGTGGCAACATGCACCCTGAGAGCTAGCAGGCCCTGCTGCACCGGGGAGAGGAGATGGTGGACGGGGGTGAGAAGGGTGGCGCATGTCAGTGGGGAAAAGGACAGGGAAGGAGAGCCCCATAGGGTGCAAAGCCCAGCAAGCAGGGTCTGCCCAGGACAGTGGACCTCCACCCGACAGACCCCAAAGATGCAACAGCCAGCCATAAGCCGGGAAAGAGGCACCCTTTCTTGACGGCCAGCTGGAGAACAGCAGAAGCGGGCCAGAGGAATTGGCATCGCCTCGAGAAGACCCGAGGGATGCAGAACTAGTGACTCTGTGGGTATGGCTGACCCTAACCCCGCAGACCCCAAGGAAAGAGAGCCAGCCCTGGAGTCCCTAAGTGAAGAGGTGGGAGCGGTGGACGCATTCCAGGCCGCATTCCCAGGGAAGCATGGCACCCTTGCCCCAGGCGGCCTGCCTTCCGTCCCTGGGCGGGTCTTGCTGTGTCTCCCTCTCGCCCTCAGTGTGCTGGGGCTATCTCGGCCCCTTGCCCGATGAGCCCTGCTGCATTCCTGCCCACGGGCCCCACCTGAGCATCCCACGTCCTCCGGCTCCCGCTGCTGCCTGCACCGTCAGACACCTCCCCACCACAGCCCACAAGCTGCCCGCATCCTGGCCAAGGGCTGCCGGT